AGCAATGACCCTCGCTCCATACTCATCCCATGTACCCGATTAGGCGAGTATTACCCGTCCCATTCGGAGTAGGACCTTACGAGTATCGGGTTGAAAGAGGTTTTTTGCCATCCCTAATCATGTAGATTGGAGTTAAATAGCCTCACTCTTTTATAGTGTATATTTTATCATTTTTGGGGATCAATGTCCAAACACTAACTGTGAAAAATTATTTTGAATTAGTCCATGTGTATGGGAAAAGGGTTTCCACATAACCCATCCAGAATACTCACGTGAATGGACTCTATGTGAATAAAATATTGAAAAAAAATCAACCCTGTGTGTGTTTTGAACGAATTCTGTAGCAGATCTCATCTGAATACTCACGTGAATGGACCCCACGTGAATAAAATACTAAAAAAAATCAATCCTGTATGTGTTCTGAAGGAATTCTGTGAAGAATTTCACTACACAAACAAGGGCAAAAAACAAGGGTTATCTCCAGGCTGATGTATAGAGTTTTTTCGAAGTCCATTTCCCTTTATTTTTGTTGTAAAATTTTGTTTCGCAAGTGTACGATCCGTAACAAGTAATAGTGGACCTAAGAGTCCGGTTATCGATCCCACGAGGACTATTTTGTAGCACTTAATTTAATCTTTCTTTAACTATTATTTGACGAATGTAAATAAAAAACAATGATTAAATGTGATTTTTATTCTAAAGACTTAAAAATGTGATTAGATTGAATGAAAAGTGATTGAGAATTCAAACAATAAATGGACGTTAGGGCGGAACAATTTCACCTATTGGTCACCTTTACTTCATAAATCAAGATTCATAAAATCTAAGGTAGTGTTCGGTCGAATTCTTCTATTGTATTCAACTTACCCCTCTCGAGTTCTCATTGAGCCTACTTAATTAGTTTAATTCCATATCTCTATACAAATTAAATTTAATTAAACGAAACATTGGTTCTAAGAATTCACACACGACCGCAGTAATCAATATAAGTATCTCTACACATTATATCAATTTACCGGATTTTAACATGTGGTCTAAACAAATAATCCGCATCTCTACGCAATCAATGTTCACAAATCATCTAATTAGTGATCAAGTAATTAAATGTATTAAGAACAATATTAAAATCAACACAGGAAATAAAAAAGGACTAGAATCTCAATTGCATGAAATAAAGGGTTCCAAAAGATTACATTGTTCGCCCTAACATGAAATTTAACTACTTATAATAATGGAAGTTTCTGCCCCAATTCCGTGTTTTTGGCCTCTTCATCCACTTTAATACTTCTTTTCTCATTGCTTCTCCTTATCTTCAAAACAACACTAACAAACACATCAAAAACGTTCTACATTCATAAAATCTACTATTTAATCAAGCTAAAAATGTGCGAAAACCATGAGTGAAACAAACTCATCAAATACCCCCAAACTTAACCATTTGCTAGTCCTCGAGCAAACACTAAAGCACATAAGAATAATTAACGGACACACAAGCACAATCAAGACAAACGAAATCACTAAAAATACATTTCGCTAGATAACTTGCCTTCATGTCTTAGAATTAAAAACATAACTTTGATTCCATGAACCACTTCAAAGCTATAATGCAAAAGTTAAATTCTCACTTATTCAATGCAAAACGGGTGTGTGTGTGGAGAGTCAAGTGCAACGCTGTACAATAATAAGTTGACCCAATTCCCAACCTTAGAAGTCAAATTTTTCCTTACCTTGCTCATGGGATTCACACACCCCCAAACTTATTTTCTTTTCTTTTTCCAAGGGTGTAACCTAAGGTTAAATTTTCAATACTAGTTTCTTACACCACTCAAATTTGGTTAGATTTTACTGATTGTAGTTCCACATGTCAACAAATGAGGATTCTCTTTATTTTTGACTGCTTCAACCTCTAGGAATCAACCAAGTTACCTACCCCTTATCAAAGGTCTAATCCTCTAAAACAAGTGTTCGGGGCTTAATCAACTTCTTCTTTTTTTTCATATATATCTTTATTCTTTAATCACTCTTTGTGCGGACGTCTCTCCCTTAAGCTTTCTAAATGACCCTTGTAGCGAGTTTTAGGTCGATGACTCCTGAATCAGATGATTTTAGGGCATCAGATTTTAAGATACCCTTGCAGGCTTAATTACTCAAGGCATGAAGAATTCAAAGAGAAGTTTTTAAATTTCAAATGTATATGCCTTGATCGGTGCAATGCCTCTTTCACACACTTATACAAACAAACCGACATCCAACTTATTTTTTAGTGCAATGCCCCTTATTAAACACCTATCCTAGAAAATCGACCTCTAACTTAAGGTTTTCACCCAATTTTCATCCTATTAGTCTCAGACAGTCCACACAAACATTAACACACACGAAATCCACATTTATCTTCAAGTTTTCCTACAACAGTGCAATCATCCAAACATCCTAAATTTGGTTAAGGGTATTGTGATATTTAATGGTTGTTTGGGTTTAGCATCTAAGTTCTCTAATTCAACCTATAAGCGTGAATCAACCTCCTCATGTACAACGCTACAATCAACTCACGTGCAAAAATTGATTTCCATTTCACATGAATAAGCAAAAATCTAACTCAAACACATAACTCGTCCACAATTCATAAATCAACGCATGTTCTCAATTACACATATCAATACCGGCAAGGTTATCTAACACACACAAGCATGCAAAAAGAAACGAATTATTTATTTATTTATTTATTTATTTTTTGTTTTTTTGTTTTTTTTTTCAAACAAGCAAATCACACAAAGCATTCGAGGAAATCAACAATGTAAGCAAAATTATTCACACTCCCCCAAACTTAACGAAAACATTGTCCTCAATGTGAAATAGAAACAAAATGGGGAGGGGACGTACCTGACGGACGACGACTAATCGTCGTCCTCGACATCGTCGTCTTGGGTATTTGGAATAGGATTTGCAGCGTGATCAGGTAGGAGAGGTGGCTGAGGAAATGTTCGATCAGGGTACATCGAAGCCAAAGCCGCATTAAACTCATGCTGATAATGGAATTGCTCGCACAAGGTGTTTTGCATCAAATTCATTTGCAATTGCATATCATGAAGCTGAGCGGCAAGGATAGAAGTGGGATCACTAGCTGGTGTCTGTCGGCGTGAACGGGGCGGCTGGTCGCTCCGAGGAGGGGGTGGAGCACTGGTGGATTCGGAGTGGCGTAAGAACTTCCAAGTACGCGCTCGTGTGATAGCCGGTTTGGGGTGCACAACCTCCTCAGTCGGGTATGTGACGACACCACCCGCTAAGCAAAGCTCATAGATCAATGAAGGGTGCCCGAGACCACCGGTAGTCAATCCTCTCAAAGTATGTAGGATGTTGTTGTGAATAACTTTACCAACATCTATGGATAGGCGGCACTGAATGGCATAATTGAGGGTTGCCCGTTCCTTTGTTACTTCACTTAAGTTGCTACTGGGAATAAGTTTACCAGAAATGAAGTGGTGCCAAGCCTTACAACCCGAAGTCATACCAGAAGCAGGAAAGTTAATTACATCAGTCTCCGAACGTTTCCATGTTGTGCCCGTTGTAGTTAAGGCTTGAATAACCTCATCAGGATCAACACCCTCGTCACGAAGTCTAGAGTACTCGTCATTTTCAATATCCTGTAAATGATAAAACCTGTTGATGGAGGTTCTATCAAATGGTATCCATTTACCCTGCACAAACACTCGAAAATCACGATGCTCCTTCGCATTGGCGTAGAACTCTCTAACAACCGGAATTAGTGCCGGTCGTGGCTGCCGAGCAAACACCTCCCAATTCCGCCGACCTATTTGCTCTGTCATATAATTGTCAAAACCACGTTCAGGAATACAGGTCTTGTGTACCACCAAGCTATTATAACGTTCAGCGGCCTCGGCACTAATGAATTTGCTCCTGTCAAATGAGCTAGAAGAGGAGGCTGTGGCTTTAGTTCTCTTTTTAGGCGGCATTGGACCTGTACAAAGGTAAAAACAGCAAACCATGAGCAACAAACAGTAATAAAGGACAATAAGGCAACGCCAAAAATCTAGCCATACGAGGAAATTATGGTCGAACGTGCAAGTGATGTACTCTAAACCCAATTGTCAACTCATAATCATCTACATGGCAATTCCCACATAATTCAAATAGCACAATAGCCAAAATAGCTCCTTCTACCCAACTAAGTTCACCTGGACAATTCATCAAACACATTGAATGCACCAATTTCTCACCAAAAAATTGCCTAAAAGTTGGGAGTAGCTCATGCCACAATATTCACACAACACACAAAGTTCTTGACATTACGATAAGGCAAGACCTCCTCATAACATAATTAACAAAAATAGGCACATAAACGCAACAACTATAATGTAAGAGGAGCAAATACAAAAGCCATACCTGGAATGTTGTTGTGGAAACAAATTGAGATGGATGAATGCACACTTATCAACAAAGAGATGTGGAAAAACAACAAGGGGGAGTGATAGGGGGGCGAAAAAAAAAAATTTTGGATTTGAAAAAAAAAATGTGATGTGGGTGAGGTGAGGTGATAATATAAATTAACCAAAAACAAAACTAAAAAAAAGAAAGAGAGGGGAAGAGTTTACCTTGGAGGGGTTGAGGGGAGAAGAAAAAAAAAGTAAAGGTAAAGGTTAGGGGGAAAAGATGAGAGGGGAGAGATGAGAGGGAAAGAGAGTTGGGGAAAATCTTATGAGGGATGGGGGCTTAGGGTATAAGAAATAGACAAGAAAGAAAGAAAAAAAAATAAAAAAAATGAGGGGAGGGAATGGTCATGTTCGCAGCGCCTAGGCGCTGCGTTTCTGTCGTTTCGGGCAGACGCAGCGCCTGGGCGCTGCAAACGCAGCGCCTCGCATAGGCGCAGCGCATGGGCGCTGCGTTTCTGCCAAAATTGGCAGAACCAGCGCCTGGGCGCTGCAAACTCAGCGCCTAGGCGCTGAGTTTCTGCCTTCATTTTGTAATTTTTTTTTTTTTTTACCTCACCCTTTTTCACACTCATTCAGTTTCATTGTAGAGCTCAAATTTCGCGATGTGTAACCTTCATGGATTCTCCTACAAAAGCAAGAGAAAGAGTTACTACGATAGTATAAATTATTAAAGGAAGAAAACAAAATCAAAGCATAAACCAATAATCAAATAAAGAATAGAGCTTGGGTTGCCTCCCAAGAAGCGCTTCTTTTAAGTCATTAGCTGGACGTAGTGCCGCAGTTATTCGGGAACAGCTAGATCAAGACTCTCTTTACCGGTGGGAAAATCTTCCACATAATGCTTGATGCGTTGACCATTTACTTTGAAATTTCCTTTAGTTGGATGGTGTAATTCAACTGTCCCATAGGGAAACACCTGAGAGACCGTAAAAGGGCCGGACCATCGAGACTTCAATTTTCCTGGGAAAAGTTTAAGTCGGGAATTGTATAATAGCATTTGATCCCCTACTCGAAAAATTCATTGCCTGATGTTCTTGTCGTGCCACTGCTTTGTCCTTTCCTTGTAGATGGATGCATTCTCATATGCCTCTCTTCTGAATTCCTCCAACTCATTTAGCTGTAGTATTCTTGTTTCTCCAGCCTTATCGAGGTTCATGTTTAACTGCTTCAATGCCCAATACGCTCTGTGCTCAAATTCCACTGGTAGGTGGCATGCTTTCCCAAAGACTAGTCGGTATGGGGACATTCCTATAGGCGTCTTGTACGCTGTGCGATATGCCCATAAAGCATCGTCCAATTTTTTTGACCAATCCTTGCGAGATGCATTCACAGTGACCTCCAAAATTCTTTTCAATTGTCTGTTTGATGTTTCCACTTGTCCACTAGTCTGAGGGTGATAAGGAGTGGCAATTCGATGTTGTACTCCGTACTTATGCAAAACTGCTTGGAACAACCGATTATGGAAGTGCGTTCCACCATCACTTATAATTGCCCTAGGTGATCCATATCGATTAAATGTGTGTTTCTTTATGAAGTCGACCACCACCCTTGCGTCATTAGTAGGCAGTGCTTTAGCTTCTACCCATTTTGAAACATAATCCACCGCGACCAGGATGTACCGATTGTTGTAAGAGGATGGAAACGGACCCATAAAATCAACCCCCCAGACATCAAATATTTCCACTTCCAAAATGTTGTTAAGTGGCATCTCGTGACGCGCTGATATGTTACCAGTTCTTTGACACTTATCGCATGACCTACAGAAACTGTGGCAATCCTTGAACAATGTAGGCCAAAAGAAACCACATTGGAGTACCTTTGCTGCTGTTTTAGTGGGGCCAAAGTGCCCTCCATAAGCCGAAGCATGTACTCGCGAGAGGATCGGTTTCATTTCATCCTCAGGCACACATCTCCTAATGATCTGGTCCGCCCCTCTCCTATACAAATTTGG